TCATCTTCCACAAAGGAGCCTAACACCCTCACTGGAGGAAACATAGCCTCTTTAATAAATGGTGCTGGAAAAACTGGGTTTCAACTTGCCAAAGATTAAAACTAGACCTATATCTCTCACCATGCACTAAACTAAAATCAAAATGGATAAAAGATCTAAATATTAAAACAGAAACACTAAACCGGCTGGAAGAGACATTAGGTAGAACTCTTGAAGACACTGGCATAGGAAAAGATTTTATTAACAAAACCTCAGTTTCCCATGAACTAGCACAATCAACAAATGGTATGTCTTCTTATTAAAAAGCTTCTGCATATCAAGAGTGCAAGACCAACAGTGTGAAGAGACAACACACAATGTGGGGAAAAATTTTCACCAGCTGTTCCTCAGACAAACATCTACTATCTAGAATATACAAAGAACTTTAAAAAACCAGACCTCCCAAACTTAAAGACTCAATCCAAAAATGGGCATCTGAAATGAGCAGACATTTGTCAGACAAAGAAGTAGAAATAGCAAATAAACATATGAAAAAACATTCAACATCACTGGTCATTTGAAAGATGCAAATGAAAACAATGCTGAGGTTCTACCTTACTCTAGAAAGAATGGCTGCTATCATGAAATCAAACAATAACAAATGCTGGTGGTGCTGTGGGGAAAGAGGAATCCTGCTCCACTACTGGAGGGAGTGCAGACTGGTGCAACTACTGTAGAAATCAGTGAGGGGATACCTCAAAGAACTAGGATTGGAAGTCCCATTTGACCCAGCTATTCCTCTGCTGAGTATCTTCCCAAAGAATGAAAACATTCATATCACAGTAAAATATGTGCACCCATGTTCATAGCAGCACAACTTGTAATAGCTGAAACTTGGAAGCAGGCCAACTGTCCATCAACAGCAGACTGGATAAAGAAAATGTAAGGTTTTTTTTTTTCCTATAAAATGGAGCACTACTCAGCCATAAAGAATGAGAAACTAGAGACATTTATAATGAAATGGATGCACATTGAGGTGATACTCTTAAGTGAAATAGATAGGATACATATGAGTAAATACCAAGTATGAGAAACAAGGTGTAAATAAGGACTAAAAGGTATAACAGGAAAGATTTTTAAGAACAGAGAGGAAGAAGGATACATGCTCTTCTCATGGGACCTGCCAACTAAAAGACGCCAGTCGCCTTGTGCGAGCATGCTGACAGAGGAGCGTGCTGGGCCACACACTCACTCCCCAGGAAGCGAGCACTGCCGGGAGGTGTGCAGGGGCCCCGGAGCGAGTTCAAGAACAGCAGCAGCAGCTTTCTTCACAGAGGAGAGCTGAAGACTGAGGCTGGGGCAGCAGCACCCACGAGAAGGTTGGAGAGCTGCACCCTGAATGACGAGTGCCAGACGGGACAACAGGGGCTGCACAGCCACGGCCAGCTGGGTGACTCTGCGACTCAGGAGCTGTGGCTCAGATTTGGACCTCAGCGTTCGGACAGTACATCTCCCCACTCCCTTTCAGCAATTCTGAGATCCCATTAACACCTTGCAGTGGATGGTGTGCTCTTTATCCACACGTCCTCACACATCTAACAGGGACACGGTACCCGTGGTAGGGGGCAGTTAGAATCCAGAGTAGCATTTGGAAATTCGGAACTATGGTTCAGAGTCAAAACAGTGGTTAACTGAAGAGAAATACTTGGAAGAAGCTCAAGAAATTCAGGACACTTTTTGTATCTGCAACACAAAATACTGAAAGAACCTAAATTTGGAGTATGCAATTTAAGTGAGATTATACATGCGAATATTCTAGTAAAGAATCTAAAATACAGCAGGTGCTGGAATACATGTAGATTGATTCAGAAGTGTTTTCTTTTGTTGCTCAGAGCAGGGCTCAATTATATATGTTGAGTGAATAAAAAGAAAACCGTGGGGCCAACTGATAATGCTTTCCAGATTTATGTAGGTTCTAACAAGTCTATTCTTACTATCCTTTGAGAGGAAAAAAAATTACACATTATACAAAAAGCATATAGACTGATTACGAGGAGAATTCTCCAGCATTGGGACTATGAAATGGGAAAAGTCTGTACTAAGTGAGGTTAGAGAAATGTTTTCTCTACAGTCTGAAAAGTAGGGCAAGATCCTGTACATCAGAAATGGAGTAAGCATGGTTCTGCCCAAGGGTAGAACAGAGTATGTGGCAGTCGCACAGCTGCTCCGGATTTCAGGCCATACACATTCCGATCAGTGACAACACAATCAACATCTGCTTCTCTTCAGATAGCTCAAAAATAATCCCAAAGACAGAATTTCACAAATGTTTCCCAAATCTCCTGCCATATTTTGGGTTTGCAAAACCAGAGCTACATACTCATGTAACAAGAATATGAAATCTATAAATAACTAAAGATTTAGAAACACTTCAGTGGGCTGAGATATAAGCAGCATCCTCTTCGGTGTTTAGCTTCTTCAGGAAAATTAATTTTGATACTGGAATCAAAACAATCCAATCTTCTTAAGAGAAGTCTACTGTCTACTGTATAGTCATGCAATGTTTTCCAAGACTTCTAAGTGCATCTCTTGGAATTTCTAACTTAATGCATGGCTTGGAAAGCACTAATCACTGATCATGAAAGGCTGGTTATACTGCATCATGAAAAGAAACAAAAACAGAGTACTTCTGCTCTTACGTCCTCATGTAACCATTTTACATAGTATGCAAAAAAAGCAGCATGTAATTTTTTTAGGGTTAGGAAGTCATTCCAATACACAAGATACATATGTTTTGCAACTAGAGACTGTCATTCCATGTTTTATGAAAATAAATTTGAAAAATATTAAGCACATACTCAGATAAAACAATAGAAATAATTATATATAGACTTAAGCAGGAGCTGGAAACAAACTGTAATACAATCTGACTAAGAAACCTAACCTAAAAAGGGGAGGGTGTTAGCTGGAAGAAAAAAAGAGTGAAAATGAATCACAGCCATAACTAAAGTTAATTTATAAGTTTGATGATTAAAGAATTATTTTAGCCTATATTGGAAAACATTATACCAAAGCCACATGCTTTCATGGCAATTGTGGAAAATTTTGTTTTATCTCACCTCACCTAAAAGAATATCATTTTATTAGCATAATTTGCCTGATAGCATTAAGTTATTCTTTTTGCAAATTGCTGCAAGAAAATCTGTATAAGGCATGAGTAAAGCTGGCTCTTTAATCATTCTAAAATTTTGGTTCTTTTGAAAAGAAAAAAAAAATCCCTAGTATTTATAGCTCAATGTTCCTAGCACATCAAAATTTTATTCTAAGAAAAAGAAAGGTCACATTATTATATTCAGGAAGCAGAATGATATATTAAGAAAAATATCACCAAGGTTTTAAGAACATTTATCATTCTTTGAAAGCTATCTACCTAAAATTAAATAGCAAAATTAAACTTTGGTCCAGGTGACTGTTTAATAGTCACTTTAGTAGTAAGACATATGCATCTACTTAACTGTATGTTTTCTTTTTTATGAGATCTAATTGACAATGTAACTATTTATCTTCCCCTATTCAGTTGTACTACTCAGAAAACCAGCTAAAAATAGACATATGTTAGGGGTGAGGGGAAGTATGACAAAGACGACTTTCTCAAATGAGTAGATACTTTTATGTAAACCTTCTCTTCTCATAATGCTACCCCCCACTGGTAGGTTTTGAAAAACTAACCATATGTGTTGCACACGTAATAGATGACAATTAAATAGCAAGATTTAATTCACCAAGATGATGACCAAAATATTATCCAGTAAAGCAACTAGACACATAACAGTACAGTCAGAAAACAAGAATAACCACATCATACTCAGCCAGGTAAAGTACGCATTAGCCAAACGTGGTGCTCATCTAAAGCAAGCTACATCTTTGTGTAGGTGTCTCGAATTGGCCAGTGTATTATGCAGGAGATCAGGCAGACAAACATTTAAGATGAGCAAAAACCAATTCAAGCAACTATTAATTTTTAAAACCAGATATCTTCCTTTATGATGTTGATGAACAACCTAGCATGTAGACACAGAATCCCACTGAGAATTGCCTTTTGGAGATATTCGCTCCCTTATTGCTATGGACCCTACTAAATAAAATTCAGGGACAGATAACCAATTCTGGAGGGCACCTTAATCTGAAAGAAAACAGACCTTTCAAAGAAATCTACAGTGGCCAGGGTTTATCAAGTCAAAGTACTCTAACCTCACTGTGTTTTTCCATACATTTCCTTATGGTGCCAGTGTAAATATGTTTACATTCTTGCAACATATACATTAAAGGTGCCAGGCTCAGTGAAGTTTCCACAGACGTTTCTTGAATTTATTTAATAGGCATCCCCAAAATATCTATATATTTTAAATTATTTTGTAAAAAGAGGCTCTTAAAGATAACAGCAATTTCAAATCATAAATAAGAGATTAATCATGCAGTTTCAGAAGTGAGAACAGTGTGTGTCCCTTTCCTTAACAAGTGTAAAGATAAAAGTAAATAAAAAACTCACTGGTTTCTGCACTGTAAACACAAGGATACAGTGAATTAAGGTAGACTTGATACACTATCTTAAGAAACAGATTAGAACAAAGATACAAGTATTCTTGTACCAAAAATATCCTACTAAAAATCATGCAAAATCACAAAACAAAAAAAAGTCACTCATTCCTTCCACAGAGACTAAACCAAAATCTGACTTTTAAAAACTCCTTCATTACACCATTTGCCTAGAATTGGCTGCCTATTTTTATAAGTGATTTCAGAGCATCTGTGCAGCTAGAGCATGTTTTATGTAGAAACAGCAGGTAGCACAGCGATTGCTTTGCACACACAGCCTGCGCGCATTATCCAGCGGACCCGCATTTCCCACTCCCGGCGTGCACTCGGGACCCACTCAAATGTTCCATCTCCAACGTGTTAAGTCACTGTTGCTAATGCGAGAACCTGCAAAGCGCCCCGAACACCTCTCCATCCCGGCTTACCACGTATGAGCCACCGTGAAGCGACGCCGCTGCCGGATGCTCTTGTTCACCAGCAACTTTCTGAAAAAGCAGGGCGAGTTCCTGGGAGAACTTCGTGGAGAGATTTTGGGAGACGTGGGTCTGTTTCCTGGCAGTCTCGGAAGCTCAAGTTCTAAGTGCATTTGCTCCTTGAAAGTCTTTATGCAAACGTCAGGTTCCGAAGCAGGAAGTTCCTTTGATGAATTTTTTGCTGTCATGTCTTGTCTAAAGTGCTAGCTCTCACCGCCTAAAACGAAAACCTCAAACATAGCAGACACCCCGCTGCAGGTGAGAAGGCTGAGGAGTCTGCAAACTCTTCTCGGTTTAATTTGAGAAGCTGCGGTTCCAACTGGGGAGCTGCTCAGAGAGAGAGCGGCACGCCTGGAGAATGGCAAATCAGGCTGTCACAGGGAGCTTTATCAGGCTGGCTGTGCCTCTGAAAATGCGCCCAAGTGCTTCCTCTGTCAGGAACCTCCTTGTCGGGTGAAGCCAGTCTGCTGGCTACACACTGACACTCGCTGAATTCATTCAGCTGAGTATACCAGCTCATGAAATATTCATAAGAGCTCCCGATAAATCCTTCCCATGTGTTCTTCTAAAAATCTTATCAAACAGGCTGCATTCGCTAACAGAGAGCAAGCGACGCCCCTGAACCTCATCACTTCTTTCATCTGCACAAAGGACAGACCACAGTCGCCCTGCGTGTGTAAAGTTTAAAGTCTTCATTCAGAATTATCTTGCTTTGTAATGCACACAAACTCCGCCTACCAAATGCTATTGGCCCGGGATTATTTAAACAGCTGCAGTGTTTCCCCCTTAAAAGCCTTCTCCATTGCTCAGATTTTCACAAAATTGGGGGAGGCTTCGGTCTTTATCACAGTAAAGATGGACTAAATCGCGGAGTGCCAGGAAGCCTCACGGAAACGGCCTTCCAAATTCCATTTCTGAATCAAAGAGCTGGTTTGCTGAAGTTTCTTTTTCTCCTCCCTTCCCCAGAAAATCTAAAACAGCATCAATATTTGAAAAACAAAAAAATGCCCATGATTGGGAAAACACTGGATTTGGCTCATTCCCTCAAGGGATCTGAAGCCTAATTTTTATTCCAATAAGCATTTCACTCATTCTTTTGTTTAAGGGTGTTGTTCACGAGTTGCCCACAGCTGCACTCCATGTTAGCTGCCCAAACTCTTCCTACAGCCAAAGCTCTCTAAAATTGAAAAGGAGGCGACACCTGGGGAAAACAGGTGCCCCCAGTGGTGGTGTGGGATGAAAACTGAGACAATATGCACGTGTGCATGTGTGCTGGCGTGTACAGGCCTACGTGCGGGTGTGCACAATTCAGAGTGTGTGTGCACCTCGTTCACGAGTACTCATGTGAGTGCCACGGGGTGTGGATGCCAAAAGCAGATATTGTAGCTGACATTTTCCCTAGCAGGGAAATCAGTACAGCTTCTCTCCTTTAAAGGGCACATGGAAGTAGAAACAGTACCGTGCTGCTTAAAGTTTCCAGGTATTTTGAAAATAATTATTATCAGGGCCAACCTAATCTCAAGTAAATTTGACAAAGCAGAACAAGAGCTGGTCAGGAAGCGTGGCAGAAGAGGGAGGATTGCCAGTGACACATTAGGTGAAAAGTTCCCTTTTCCCACGAATGCCGGAGGTCTTCCAGCCTTAGACAGTCACACCCGTCATCTGCTCTAGTGAAAGATGGGCTAATATACGAAGGGCTAAAACCAACCTGCCCCTATGGGGAGGGACAAGTGGGTCCCACACTAACCCTTCAGGAAGTAATTCCAGCACAATGAGGCTTAAACCACTGATTTACAGGTAGTACTCTGGAAAGCTTCTCAACAGTTAACGCAACTACAATAGGTCCTGGACAAAAGCATACTGAAGACTTGTGCTGAACCTCAGTGATCCCCTGGTTTTACAACACATTCCAGAGACAGGGAAGCAGAGCTAGAAAAACTAAAGGACTTGTGCGAGGTCATACACAGTCGACACTACTGCTAAACCTAAACCCGTGTTGTCTGACTCCCAACTGGTACTCTATAGTTCAGTCACAAAGCTGCGCTTCTGTCCAGCAGCCCCTGGTGCATGCTCTTGGCATCTGGAGATACCTTGATTATCCTCTTTGGGAAGACAAGGCAGTTAGTGGTAATACTGTGGGAGAAAATATGGTAACACTATCTCGTGTCTGCTGGGTTATGAAATAAAATCTGAAACTTTCTGCCCAAAACTGCTATGATTTAAAACTGGGATACAAGACTGTATGATTCTGCCATTACTCAGAGTGATTTATAAGTAAAAAAAAAAAAAAGAAAAGAAAAGAAAAAGGCAGTTTGAAGCCACAAAAGATATTTCTCATATTTACTTTTCAAAGCTGCCAAACTATACTAAACATTTTAGGAATTTCTTCCCCAAAATATTATGACAAATTTCACAAGCCAGATCTAGCTGTACGTTAACTGCAGCGCAGAGTAGGAAACACTGACATAAACACACCTAACAGAGCAAAGCAGTCCAACTGTAATTATTTTCTATTTTTTATTTCCAGGTTTGTGTCATCACATGGCTTTCCATGTTACCATTTTCACAGTTCCTACTGTCCCAATATTGCAATTAAAACACTTTTAGAATCACCCTGAGAAATACAGGTCTCAAAAGCAGGTAAAACTATTAACTCTGTCTCCCCTAGAAAAAAATTCAAGAATAGCAAAGGAAGTTAACTGAAATGCAAAATTAGATCATCAGACGGTGTGCAAGCCTCAATTCTTTATCACCGGTAAGTGGTAGGACCATGATTACAGGTAAATGCAAGAAAATTTGTTTCTAGAGTTGAAATGCAAGAGAAAAACAAGAAGCAGTACCAAACATTGAAGCCAAAGACGAATCGAGACGATAGGAAACAGGAGACGGTAAGAAAAGAGTAAACAGAGTGTTACACTTCAAAAGAGAACAGAAGAGAAGGTAAATACGAGTTCCTGTGCTGTACACAGTGTCCAGGGAGGGACTAATGAACAAAATGAAAGCCTCCTGTGCACACAGAATCCTTAGCTCTTGATATCTCAAAGGAGAAATGAGTGATTTTTCAATTCTTCAGTGTACAAATATTTACCCTGAACAATTATTTGAGAATTCCAACTACAGCTATGTCTTCATGTCACTTAATGAAATTTCTGCTATCTACAATTTTTCAAAGCAATAAGAATCAGGAATTTATCATAGTAAAACTACCATTAAATTTTTAAATAGAATAATATAATCAATAATAATCAAATAATGAAATAAATATTATGGACAAATGGAAAATATTTCAGTTTTGCTAAATTGAAAAAGAAGGCCAATTAATTACAACCAAAGAAAATTGTAAATTTATGAGTATAACATTGTTTAAAATGTTTTTAAAAAGATCGACAACTTTATAATAAAATTATTTTAGATTAAAATAATTACATTCTTTTATATTCAATATCCTTTGATCTTTGAAAGTTGACCTGGAATAAATTTTCTCGCAAAGACAGTTTTTCAACAAAACAAATGTATTTTAAAGACATGAAACCTCAGTTTTTGTACAATAATCTTATGCCTGGCACAACAGTGAACTCAAAATAACATTGCTCTCATTTACTGTAAATACAAAGCTGGACACTTGAGAAGACAGATGAATCGGAGTTATTTGTAGGAAGATGGATGCACCTTGAGACCATAATGTAAAGTGAAATAAATCAGACACTGATATCACATGGTTTCTCTTCTAAGAGGAACTCAAAGTATAAATAATTTAAAGAGGAAAATAAAAGAGAGATGACAGGAAACAGGCAGGCAGGCAGACATCCTGGAGATAAGAGGGATCGAAGCACAGGGGAGGCCAGAGAGCAGGGAGGGAAGAAGAGGTAACGGGAGGAAGACACGACACTGTGCGCACCAGCGCCTCCCGGTGAGTGCACTGCTTGTGTGAGGCAAACACAAATACAAAGGGAAAGGAGAACTAGAAGGGCAGATTTAGGACTGTCCTTATCAACAGCCACACGATCAGTTTTATCTGTTTTACTGTCTGGCTGCTCTTTGCTGCCCTGAGGCACCCCTTGAGGGCCACCATTAAATGCAATGGAATTAAAGACACATAAACCCCTTGACTTCCAGCAAAGGCAACGTAGTAAGTATAGAACACAAACAAACAGCTGTAGCCTCGTCCAACAATCGAAAACAGCCAATAAACCACTGTACACAACTATACAACCACAAATCACATAACTTTTCTACTTTGGCCATAAGAAATGGAGCTAGAGAATTATCCTAATGTGACTGAAAAACGATAATATCCAACTGAATGAAAATAACCATCTAGTCATCCTTGAACCTTACAGTGCTCAGGCAATTCTTAAGAATAGAAAAAGTTTAGCGGCTGGGCTGGGCAGCTCAGGCATGGGGCATGTGCCTAGCATGCTCAAGACCTGGTTTTAATCCACCACCACAAAATAAGTCAGGATTATAGGGATATAGCTTACACTGATTAATACCTACTGAGTTCCAGATATGGTAGGAAGCTTTCTAACATTTCTTCCATTTGATCCTCCTAATTCTATCAAGACTGTTGAAAGCCTTTGCTTGACTTCCCCATGATACTAACTACTAGATCCTTTAGGGCTGGACTAAGTCTCATGTGATATTTATATCTAGAATGTGAGCCAGAGCCTGGCTAAGAGTAGATACTCAATAACTATTTCTTGCATGTACATTATTTTGTCTGTCTTCATATAAGATGGCCAAGATATTAAAATTAGAAAACCGTCCGAGAGTTGATGAAATAATCAAACCCAGGTCTTCTGCCATTTTATTACATTACACCAATGTTACCTAAACATTTTTAAAGAGAGCACAGCCAACAGGACAGAAGAAAGAATGCATGTTTCCAGGGTGGCTCAGTCTTATGGCTGGGGACTGATCTTCACCAGTACTACATGTCCTGTCTGAAGCTATCTACCATGTTGTCTTTACGAGACAATGCAATAAGAATGCTTTACTTTCACCCATATGATGGGGCCTGTCCACTCTTCATTAGTACAGTAGCACTGTAGAAGTCGAAGTTTAATCTGCACACCTGGTAAGGTCAGCTGACTCCTTGGAAAGAGGAGGCCTGGAGGGCAGGTGCTTGAGCACAGTCTCGTATGGTTCTTGGAAGTGGTGCAATCAGGGAAGAAGTGGATTCTTCCATGCCCCCTACTCACTTGCTCTAGCCACTCTGGCCTTGTCCCTGCCCGCTGACTATGCCAGGCAAGTTCCTCTCCCCGGGGTACCTGCATCATTTGTTTTCTCTTCTGCTTCCAATGTTTGTCCAGTAGCACTCTCCGGGTGGAATTTTCCATCACGGCCTTTAGAAAACTATTATGTATTTGTCAGCTTGTTATAGGTATTAGCTACCTATTTACTATGAGTTTAGCATCCCTAGAATTCAAGTTTTACAAGAGAAAATAATTTCACTTTGTTCACCCTTCTCATCCCAACTGTAGGACAGTGTCTGCCAAATGGCAAATATTTCAATAAATGTTAGTTGCATGGACACATGACCAGTCTTCTAGGTGCAGAATAAAATGGGGAAGGACACATCAAACAAAAACAGAATAAACTATCTTCCCCAGATTGGGCTAAGAGGTAATCTTCACCATTTTAA